TGAAGCAGAGCCTTTGGCGAAAATCACCGAGGAGAAAGTGATTAAGTTCTGGTTTGTTAATATTTGTTGTCGTTATGGTATTCCGCGGGTGCTTATATCGGACAATAGAACTCAGTTCAAAGGTCAGCGGGTGATGAGCTGGTGCGAGGACATGGGAATAAAACAACAGTTTGCTTCGGTCGCCCATCTGTAGGCAAATGGGCAGGCTGAGGTGGCGAATAGATCAATTCTGAATGGGATAAAGGCTCAGTTAGATAAGGCCTCGTGAGCTTGGGTTGACGAGCTGGATTCAGTCCTTTGGGTGTATAGGACAACACCGAGGGCTTCAACAGGGGAGATGCCATTCATTTTGTTATATGGCATGGAGGCGGTTATCCCTGTCGAAGTGGGACTTAGCTCGACAAGGATTGATGCATACGCTTATGAAGGAAATATGGTGTTGCATCGAGAGGTGTTGGATTTGGTCGATGAGTTGCGCGACCAGGCCAAAGTGAGGGTAGTAGCTTACAAGCAGCGTATGAGGGCAGCCCACGATCGTTCGGTTAAAGCTCGGCATTTTCAGGTAGGGGACCTGGTATGGAGACAGGTTGATGCCTTGAAGCATGTCGGGAAATTAGAACCTAATTGGGAGGGGCCTTATAAGGTAGAGAGAGTCCTGACAGGAGGGGCGTATGAGCTAAGCAACAGTGAAGGACGCGTGTTGCACCGTCCTTGGAATGTGATGCACCTCAAGAAATATTATGCTTAGGCGATTTGATAGTAAATAAGCTGTTATGCTATATTTACTTGCAAAAATAACATGTAATGAGAATAAAAGCTTTTTTATTGTCTATGTGCGAGACTGATTGTTAAGGGCGAAAGCCTGTTAAAACGCGAGCTTGTTAGATCTCGGCGTTATTACTGTTAGGGCGAAAGCCTGTTAAAACGCGAGCTTCTTAGAGCTCGGCGTTATTACTGTTAGGGCAAAAATCTGTTACAATGCGAGCTTCTTAGAGCTCGGCGTTATTACTGTTAGGGCGAAAGCCTGATAAAACGCAAGCTTCTTAGAGCTCGGCGTTATTACTGTTAGGGCGAGAGCCTGATAAAACGTGAGCTTTTTAGAGCTTGGCGTTATTACTGTTAAGGCGCAAGCCTGTTAAAACTCGAGCTTCTTAGAGCTCGGCGTATTACTGTTAGGGCGAAAGTCTGGTAAAACGCGAGCTTTTTAAAGCTCATAGATATGATTGTTTAGGACGTGCTCATGAATAAGAATGTTTTTAAGTGCGTTTGATACGGTTATGCATTACAATTGTAGATGTGCGAGAGTGATTGTAATGCGGCAATACATGGAAAATGAAAGGAAAATTTCATTGCAAAAACGCCTGCGGCCGAGCATACATCTAAATTTCATTGAAGATTAAACAACTGACTGGGAGGACACCAACCCCTCCTCTTCGCCGCTGAGCTCGGCCTTTGCTATGGCCACGTCCAGCACCGGCCCCCACCAGGGAACGTCAACGGGCTGCGACTTGTCCCCATTCTAGCCAACCGGGTCTGGGAGGATAGGGACCATGGCCGATTTGTCGACAGAGCCCGCAAATCCTCGTGCCTTGACCTGGGCAAGGCAGCGCTTTACCCCCTTGTTAAAGTACTGGAGGCAGGCCGGGATGAGCTTGCTGAGATAAGTGGTGTGGTCATAGTACTTTAGCAGCTCAACCCGGTAGTGCTCCAGGAAGCGGGCCCCATTAATCGAGGAAAGGAAAGAGACCTTGCCGTCCTCACGGGCCTTGATGACGCGCTGGTCCACCGCCAGCTTGAAAGACCCCAACTCGACATCCTTTGTCGCGAGCTCTTCCTTTTGGCGGTCGAACGACTCTATCAGGTTGGCCAGCTCGGCGCGAGCACTGTTCAGGTCATCCTGTAGGGCCTCGACTTCAGATGTGCCCTCAATCTTCTCGTGCAGGATGGGGGCGAGACCATCCAGAGCCTATAAGAGTTTGGTGTTAGAATCGATATAAAGGAAGATGAGCATATGCAAGGATTGTTGACGTACCTTCACCAAATTGTAACAAGTGATGGAGGCTCGGGTCTGGTTATCTTCCCAGCGAGTGGTTTCCCTTCTGGGAAGATGAAGAGGAGGTAAGCGGCAGAAGTGCCAACATCAGGGTTACACGCAAAGGATTACGACATCTCCAGGATGTTTTTGGGGCAGGCCTTCTATAGGCCAGCCTTGGCCTTCTTGGTGGGTTTACCACTGGCCTTCGCGCTTTTGCACTTGGATGACTTCGGCACCGCATGGTGGTCTGCTCGGTCGCAGCATGCTTCTTGGTGCTGGAAGTCGTCTGGTTGGCTGTTGGGTTCGGCTGCTCGGCAGGGGCGGTGCTGTCGATCACCAGTGCGGCGGGCTGGGTTGATTGTGCCGGGGTTACGGTGGAAGCTGGATTAGTGAACGCCGAGCTAAAGGCAGCCTCTGCAAGGTAAGGCATTATAAGATGGTAAATCATAAGTATAAAGTATGATCAGCTTGTCAGGGAAAACACTTACCGACGTCCTCCACTGCCTCGGCCGGGCAGTTGGATAAATTAAAATGTTTGAGAGGACGAGCATCGGAGTTTATTGGCACCACCTGCACTACTCGTTCGTTCCATCTGGAGATGATGGCATCGAACGCGGCGTTAGGTCAGGGGTTAGGTCGCTGCTCAGGAAGTTTATGAATCCACTCAGGACCAAAGTCAAAGGTGTTCGGCGAAGGCAGAAGGTAATAGAATTTGTTTTTCTAGTTGTGGATTTTGGATTTTGGCTGTCCAAGGAATCGGGCATTATGATGGGTGGAAAGGTAGTACAACGTGTCTAAGGGTTTCATACAAAGGCATTAGAAACAAAGTTCTGGGTCTAGCCGACCTAAACGAGCTCGGCACACCATTATAAAGCCTACAAGCAGTCTAATGGCATTGGGCAAAAAGTGGTTAAAGGGAAGACGGTACAGCTTACTGAGTTCCACCAGGTCGTCGCGGAGGGGGAATTTCAGTCCGACGGCGGCCTGGTTAAGGAAGGAGTAATAACCAGGTGAGGGGTTGGTGTATGTATTTCCGCGACGAGGAACCTTAAGGGTTCATCCCCGCAGAAGCTCGATCTCTTCAAATATTTTAACTATTTTATTGGTGGAGTATGAGGTGAGGGGATTGGGAGGCGCCGACCTAATGATGGTGGCATCAAGAGCTATGGCTTTTCCCTTATCAGTGGCGGCGGATGAAGACAGAGTTATCCTCATTACGGACACAGAAGTTTCTCCTTGAAGTTCTGAGTTGAAAGGGGAATGGGAGTTCGAGTTAGTTGAAGGTTGGTGTTCTAATGGTGGGATGGGTACACGGTATCAGAAATTAGTAAATTAGTAGGGTTCATAAAAATAAAAGTAAAATAAGTAGCGATAAGTTATCACTCACCAAAGAACGACATGATGGAAGAAGATGATGGTCGTTGCTTGCGTCGGAAGTTCGCCGGAAGTTGCTGGACAAAGTTCGAGATTTGCAGGAGTGAACACAGAGGTGGGGATTTTGAAACAATTTCCGGTATTTATAATAATGCAGTTTGGGTATAGGGAAGGTCAACCAATCTTAGCCATTAATTTTGAATCCTCATCTACGGCTCGGATAAAAGGCGTGGTTGCAAAGGAATAGCAAGTGAAAGGGCGGATAATCACGGGTGTCCACCTCGATTTAGTGCATGATGCAGGTGATGTCAGGTTCGGGATTCAAAGAATGTCCATCATCATGCCTAGGGTTAATGATAGTGTACGTCAGTAATTCTGACGTATCGCTTCTGATTCGAGGAAAGGGAATTTGTGGAGGTGGTGCCACGCACAAGTAGGGGCGTGGGATTTACTCGCTAGAGAATAGTTTTAACATTTTTTCTGACTGGGCTGTGATAGCTCGTCATTAAAAACTGGGGCTAGATGATATAGCACACGTGTTGTTGGAGAAGTGTTGATCGTGTGTTGCTCATAAAAATGGTGGATGGGCTAGGTCGGACGACCTGCACGAGGAAACATGGAATATGGCCGACTCAGGTTAGCAGCTCAGCAAGATTTTCTGTGGGATGGTGAGCTCGGCGTGTTGTTCAGACGATTGGGTGTTTGCACCCATTGCAAGCTCAGCGTGATGGCCAGGACATTCCGAGGGTTTCTAGAGTAGCCCAACATGGTAGCTCGGCACAATTGAGGGGAAGCTCGGGTGTCCGTGGCCGAGCTGACACTGACGGGGAAGTTGAAGTGGCGGGTCCCATGTAGATGTGGGATTCTTTAAGAGTGACCAACTTGAGAAAGTTGGGGTGTGGCAGGAAGTCTACAGCCGTAGAGCAAGATGGGAAAAGAGATGGCTGAAAGGAGGGCTCTAATCACACCTAAAGTCCTGCTATTTAGGGACTCTTAGGTCTATAAAAAGACAGGTTCTTTTAGCTTTATACAAGAGAACACACATATACGCATTATTTTGTTACTCCATTCTCTCTGTAACACCACCACTAACTTGAGCGTCGGAGTGTCCACGCCGGACCACCCCCGTCGTGTTTTGCAGGTACCGACGATCAAGGAGGCTCAACCCAGTTTAAGAGGAGCAGTCGAGTGGTTTGGAAATTTGTGGCAAAACAGCCTCTATGATCAATGTGTTACAGCACCAACATCACTCTATGGGGACCACTTACGACATGCTTCTCAATCTTAAGGAGCTCTATGGTAATCAGTCTAAAGCAGCCCGACAAGATGCACTGAGAGTTCTTTTTACGACCACCATGGATGAAGGCATTCCCATAAGGGATCGTGTCCTTAATCTAATGGAGCAGTTCAATGAGCTGGCGGTCATAGGAGAACAAATTGACAGGTAAACCCAGATTGATATGGTACTTCAGTCACTGCCCAAGAGATTTGAGCAGGTTTACCTGAACTACAATATGACCAAAATTCTTTTGTCGTTGGCGGAACTTCTCAGTGAGCTCCATGCGGCGGAAGGACTTTTCAGTCAAAATCCTCAGGCGTTTGTGGCCGAGCAGGCTGGTCCCTCGACTTGTGGTCCCAAAAGGTCTAAGAAGAAGAAAAGGTTTGCTAAGAAGGCTGGGAAAGCGCCAATGCCTACGGTCATTAAGGAGATTGCACCAAGAGAAGTGAAGAAGTTGAAGGGTAAATGCCACCGCTGTGGGAAGTCGGGGCACTACAAAGCCAATTGCCCCAAGAAAGCAATGAAGGTGATTACCACTCTTTTGTCATAGAAACATGTTTAGCGGTTATGTCTACCAGTACCTGGTGTGTTCACACAAGAGACAATCATCATGTCTGCAATTCTATGAAGAGTTTCTAAGAAACCAGACGGCTTAGGGAATGGGAGATTACCGTATACAAGGGCGACGCTATGAAAGTGGCAGAAGTTGCAATGGTAGACATTACTTTATTATTGTCTACTAGTACTTCATTAGCTCAATTTCACTCCTAGGCTATATGAGAAATTGAAAAAGCTTCGTTTTATATAGCTTTGAGACATTGTTTAGTAGTTCCTTCATTTAGAAAAAATCTTATTTCAATGTCTAAACTTGTTATGGATGGTTATTCATTTTCTTTTAATGACAAGGTTGTTATTCGCAATGTGAAGCATTTCATATGTGATGGTTCATTAGTTGGCAATTTATATGTTCTTAAACTAAACACTCACACACAACAACAAAGTGAACTGAATAATACATTGACTAAATCAATTAAGAGAAAGAAACCTTCAGAAATGAATCAGGTATATCCCTGGCACCTTAGGCTTGGGCACATAAACCTTAGAAGGACTCAAAGGCTTGTATATATTAGATCTCTCGGTCCATTAGAATCTTCATACCCTACATGTGAGTCCTGCTTGGAGGGTAAGATGGATAAGCAGCCGTTCACTGCTAAGGGGTGTAGATGACAGAGTGTACTAGAACTGATTCATTCCAACTTATGTGGTCCTATGTCAATCCAGGCTAAAGGAGGTTTCGAGTACTTTGTCACTTTTATTGATGCTTACTCTAGATTTAGGTACATTTAGCTAATGCGCCGCAAGTCTGAATGCTTTGAGAAGTTCAAATAATATCAGGCAATTGCGGAGAAGTATCATGGTAAAAGTATCAAGTCACTTCGATCTGATTGGAGAGGCGAATACCTCTTAGGAGAGTTTAGGACATATCTGTTTGAGGCTGGGATTGAGTCCCAACTCATTGCACCCGACATGCCCCAGCAGAACGGGGTTGCAGAGCAAAGGAATATGACTCTTATGGAAATGGTTAGGTCGATGATGAGTTATTCAAATCTTCCTAGATCATTTTGGGGAATGGCGTTCGATACAACATTGTACATCTTGAACCTTGTTTAATCAAAGTCAGATGCCACTACTCCAAGTGAATTGTGGTATGGGCACAACCCAGTCCATCACATATTCGTGTCTGGGATAGTCTAGCACATGTGCTACGGCAAAGCACTAACAAGTTGGATAAGCGCACAGAGGTACGTCTGCTCGTAGGCTATCCTAACTAACAAGAGGAGGTTTATTCTATAGTCCCGATGATCATAAGATGATCGTTAGAAGACTATATTATGAACTATAAGCCCGCGAGTAGACTTGTCTTAGAGGAGTTGAGGGTGAAGTCGCTGGTATTGGGATCTATAAGGATCGCCGTTAATGTGCAAGTTACAAATTTAACTACAAGAATACATATGTGCAGCGAATCTATAAGTAAAAGTAGGAGACTCACGGTTTACAAAATTTTCTGAATCTGAGACGTTGTAGATTTCTTTTAGAGGAGATCATCTGATCACAAAGTCCGTTGGGCAGCCAGACGGGCCTTCACGGTTGTCGCATGTCGCGTGCATGTGCGAACAGGATCGTGATCGGAGCACCGGGAAGCTGTTGGGAGGCGGGCACGAGAAGTTCGTGGGTCTGCTCGATGTCACGGGAGGCAGCAGTGGGTCCTCTCTGGGCACTAGGACGTTGCAGGTCGCCAGGGATGCACGCAGGGGGCTCGCAGATCTCAGTGTCGGGCGGCTGGGAACTCAGCGGTCGTAGCAGGTTGTGACTGGTGGACTCGCGGTGGTGCATAGCGGTCTTCGGCGGTGCATGGCGGTGGTCAACTGTGGTGCTGGGAAGTCTTTTAAGGCTGCAGTTCTGGGTTCCTAATCAGGTGGAAAGGGTCAACTTTTATCCAAAGAACCAATCAAGGTCAGCGAGGGTGATGTAATACATGAAGTTAAAGAATGGAATCGGCAACCGACAGTGGTCGATTTTGCTCGGGTTTTCTCGGGTACTCGACTAACTTGGAACTTCTATTTGATTACCTAACACCTCTAGAACTCTCTTGGTGGGAAGGGGTAGCTAGATATCGCTATGTGTGTTATGTTTTGCATGACTAGAGAAGAGGTGTATTTATAGGCTCTAATATGGACCCTAAGGAGGCATTAAATTGGCTTCTCTTATTAGGACTGGACTATAGGTCAAGCCTACCAAGTCTAATAGGAATAATACAGTCATTCTACTAAAGTAGTATTATTGAAATACTCCCAATTTAATTCATAAATTACGATTTGAGCTCCACTCTCTAATATACTCGATTTAATGTCCGTCAATTTATTTAATTACTGATAATTAAATTAATCGACTCCTTGAACCAAAGCTAGCACCATTCAATCATTATTATTATGTCAGAATTTTATCCACCTGCAGGGTTTAACATAATAATTCTTTTGAACTCACTCCGGGGAAATCATCAAACCTCAACATTGTGAAGTCATGGTGATCGTAAAATATTATAACAAAACACCATGTCATGTATGAATAACTACCAACCCAGACAGTTATTGGTCCATATCAATAAACCTCACCTTGTTGAATCAAAGCAGTAGTTACTACATACATGTGTTTGTTTATTTCTTACGGGTTAAGAGAACGCAGTAATCAGCCGAGGCCTAGTTCGTTTACGCCGATTAATACAAAACGAACTATTCCTCTTTCGAATCCATTCAATACACCAATGTGTACTAGTGTGGCTAATCATTCAAGATCAATTGTACCGCCCACACTATAACCATTCCAATGGATTGTTCAATTTCCATCTAGGTTGTGAAACAAATGTTCATGTTTCACAAGTAACCGATAAATGAACCATTTCTCTATATGCAAAACAATAGAACATGGAACTTTATTTAATCAAACATGAATTTTCATTCAATATAAATAGTGTGAATCACATCTAAAGTCAACCTTTCAGTATACACACTAACAATCTCCCGCTTATACTTAAAGCTTATGCTTTTCTAGTATACATCTTTCAATCCTTAATTCTCAAAGACCTATGTTCATCCTGGTACCACACATCCGACTCCCATTTATTTCATGTGTCTAGCGAAGACTTTTCCCGGCAGACTCTTCGTGAAAGGATCAGCTAGGTTGTCCTCTGATGCAATCTTGGCAACCTCGATGTCTCCTCTCCCTACGATATCTCATATAAGGTGGTATTTGCGCTCTATGTGGTTACTGGCCTTGCAGGCTCGTGGTTCCCTCAAGTTCTCTACTGCACCACTGTTAAGTCCACCAAAAATTTTCTGAGCCATACTACCTCTTCCGTTGCTTCACAAGCTGCGACATACTCGGCATCCATGGTAGAGTCTTCCACACATTTCTATTTGGAACTCCTCCATGAAATGGCTCCACCTCCCAATGTAAACACATAACCTTAGGTAGATTTGCGTTCGTCCCGGTCTGAGTGGAAGTCAGAATCGGTGTAAACCAGCGGTAGAAAATTGTTTACATGGTAAACTAACATGTACTCCTTAGTCCTTATCAGGTACTTGAGTATATGTTTCACCGCAGACCAATGTCCAGGGTCTGGAATATTTTGATATCTAGTTACTAACATAGCTAATATCGGGTCGTGTGCACATCATTGCATACATAAGGGTTCCAACTGCCGAAACACAAGGAACTGTCTTCATGTTCTCTATTTCTTGAGGTGTCGTAGGCAACTTCTCTTTAGATATAGGTACTTCATGTCGAAAAGGTAGCATGTTTTTCTTGGAGTTCTTCATGCTGAATATGGCTAGGAGAGTATCTATGTATGAAGATTGGGATAGGCACAACATTCTCTTCTCAGGGTCCCGAATGACCCTAATACCAAGAATGTGTCATGCCATGATTGAGGCGTATTCACCTTTTAGTGCTTTCAGCCACGATGCCGCTACGTCATGTACGAGACTGAAATTGACGATGTTGTCATTAAAAGCAATGACCGAACTCAAAATAAAAAAAGAAAATGAATGACAAAACCCACCAACTAGCAGTTATAAGAAAAAAAAAAGGTCAAGGCTTAAGGACGAGCGTCAAATCTTGTGCAAGAACGGTATCAAAATAGTTTTCAGTATATGTTGCGTTTATAGTCAATATAGTTTTAGTATAAATTGTGTTTTTATTTACATACCATTTATCTAACAACATTTGATATGTTTGGATTTTGTTTATATTTTACTTATTTTTATTTCAACAATCTATACACTGCTCATATGTAAAACATTTTATAAGTGCTCTTCAGGATGAATAAAAATAAAAAACTATACATAATGTATTACAACTTTTTTTTTCGCTCAACCAAAATTCGGTTTATAATTGGTTTATAACCTATATAACATATAAGTACATATTCGACTATGTAATATTAAACATAAAGTTGATCGGAAGCTTGTGCAAAAGAAGTTTCAATTCGATAAAGGTGGATCCAAAAAATTGCACAACAAAGGTGGCAAAGAAAAGGTCGGTGCAAACTGTTTCGGCGACGTCAACAAAATCCCCCAAGCAAAGAATCGAATAAGGTNAGATGAATATGACATGCATAAGATGAAAATTGATGAATACGTCGTTGAAAACGACGACTCGATTGAAAAAAAAAATGAATGATAAGACCGACGAGGTCGCCAATTATAAGAAAAAGAACTCAAGGCTTAACAACGAGCATCAAATCTTGTACAAGACAAATATTACTATAATTTCAAATAATTTTATAGTCAGTATATTTTTAATATATGTTGCCTTTCTATTTACATAACATTTATCCAACCACATTTATCTGACTGAAAAAAAAAAATGGATGACAAAATCGACCATGACGACAATTATAAAAAAAAGAGGTCAAGGCTTAACGATGAGCGTCAAAATCTCGTGCATGACTTAGAATAATTACACTATATGTTGCTTTTATAATAAGCATATTTTCAATATATTTTGCTTTTTTATTTACATAACATTTTTCCATCCTGCCGCCGCCAATTTTTACCTAAACATCACCACCATCCCTTCCTTCCTCCTCCTGCCTCTGCCAAACTCCTCGGCTACAAGAAGGGCGATAAATCCGTCGGCCTGGACCGACTCGAGTCCTACTTACCAGGCTACTTAGACCACGACCCCTCCACCAATATCTCTGACGAGCTCTTCGACAGCGGCCTATAGTCCACAGTTCGCTCTTACCGCCGCCGTCCACTCATACAAGAGAGAGAGAGAGAGATGAGAGAGATTACATTGTTTAGGGATGATTTTTCTTATTAAGGTAAATTAATTTTAAATACAATATCTTACCATCTGTAGCATATATTTTGTTTTTTTTTTTTTCTTTTCATTAATCACTAGGCATCGGATTTTAAGGGGTGAACGTTTCTTGTTTGGAATCAAATTTTNCGTCAAAGTGCAATTAATTCCAATTAAGATAGGATGCATGTAAATGAGCCCTTTATCCACTACAATCCCATAAAATTAGTCGCTACATTTCTCAACAAAGTTATCCATTCAACTTGGTTTGGCCCAACCTTTAGATAAAAGGTCCAGATTTCATCTTGCAAACAAATAACACATTCCATATGCTAGTCTCACAAACGCATACACGAAACAACACCTCAAGCAATTCACAAAATTCTTTTGTATTTAGACTGATCTCTCAGACCTCAGCCGAAAGTTCATTATCATCTATATCAGTTCAACACGCCGATTGCTTAAACCTGGTAAACTGTCAGTAATCAAATTATCAAAAACCCAATTTACAGGACACAAACAGAAAACATCCATTTCCCATTATCCTCATCACCATAAATAATAGTTTCGAATAGTTTGAGACCACTCAGAAAGTTGAAAATAACCTCTCTGTTACTTCAAGAACCCATATGAATCCCATTCCAATCATCATTCACATCTACTTTTTCTGCCACTACACAGACGCCAACAGAGCAAAATGGGAAAAAACGCTACCAAGAAGAAGAAGAAAAAAAAAAAAAAAAAANGAAAAGCAACACCTTCACAAATAAATTACAGCATTCACATCTCCACGAAAGTAGGTTACTACTAAGGATTTAACCCAAAACCAGGTCATCATCTCAAGCTCTTAAAAGGTACCCCTGGCAAGCTAAAACCGAGGGATAACATCTTCAGCAAGAACACTCGATTAAGGAGCTTGTTGAGTCTTATTTCCTCTCCATTATCTGCAATGGCCTTCTGCAGGATACAGATCAACAGAAGGAACCTATCTTTCATTCGAGCTTTTTTTCCAATTTCCAACCACTTAATGGCCCAGCTTGCGCTTCTTAGCCAATCTTCTCCTTCTTTCCTCTTCCTCAAGCCGGAGTTCTTCTTCGTCCTCTCGTCGAGCGATTTTTGCACTGGACAGTGCATGCACACACAGTAGGTCAATATTACGATTTTACGAATTGAGATTTTACAGAGGACAAGCAAAATATTCACCATACCAGCTACAAGAATGATAGAAGTGATTTGAATAGAATGTATAGTTGACAGGCATTCAAGTATCTAAGCAAGAAAACAAAATTTGGCACGTGGAACAATCTAAAGGCTGGAATGTTATTGCATGTACACCTACACGTACAACTACATTTTAGTGTGTGGTTAACATATTGTATCAAATACTAACAATAACTTCCACCAACTATATCATTCGCAAATACTTAACAATCAAAAGAACATATAATGATTTCATACCACAGGAGACGATTATTAGTGAAAAGAAATAAGCGAACATACAATCATATTTTCAAAATTTCATTGTCTTTCCCACTGTGCTTTAGTTCCCAAACAGATAAGTGAACATAACATGTCCTCACATGATTCACAGATGAAAAGCAGAAAACATAACAGAAAAACCATATTGTTAGTCCAACACAATATTCAGTTGAGCTGACCTGCGTCTCTCCTCCCTCATAACATCTTCAAAATTGGACTGCATGTTACTATCATCATCATCGTCACGGAACCGACTTGGATCATACCTAACAGGCCCATAAATAATGAAAACGGGAAAAAAATAAGGAAAGTAGACCATGAACCACTGACTACTTTTCTGCTATGATTACGAAAGGGATGAGTAAAATGCAAATCGCAAGGAATAAAAAAAGAAGAGAGAAAGTATCTATGGTACCCAAACATTGATCTGATAATATTTACATATCCACCAGCTTCATCATTGAGTGGCCTCTTAGGTTTAACATTTGGTCTTTCATCTGCTAAACTATGACGAACAGGCGCCTTGGGAGGAGATCGTCTCAACTGCCAAAACCATACAATTTAAACTTGAAAAAAAAAAAAGGCAACTCAAATTGAAAAGTGAATTTAAATATAATTATGGATGCAAATTATAGATACTACACAGCCTCACACCTGATCTCTAGAGGAAGATGCCGCCTGCTTTGTCATCGCCATCGGCTTGCCAGATCCTCGATACTCCTCTTGTTGAACAGATGGTTTTCTCGTAGCTGAAGAAGGTTGAGCACGTGAAGGCACCGATTTATGGATTCCAGACTGCATATTTGAAGGCATCGGTTTACGAATATGAGGTTGCACAGCAGAACGTGCTGGCTTATGCGCACCAGCAACCGTAGTATGTTTTGAAGTAGATGAGGTGGTCTTGCCAGTAGTAATAGGTGTGGGCCTTCTTGAAGGAAGGCTTTTGGGCCCAACGGGCCGCCCAGGCCCACTCCCATTATTGCTCCCTAGTTGTTTCCTAGGATCCATCGCTGGCTTGGTCGGGGGTTTTGCCCTCTCCTGCCCTACTTTAGGTTTGTTTTGGCAAACTGAAGGCACTGGCCTCCTCACACCATTATTGCTCTTGCTAGGCTGCTGTTGGGCTGAACCTGCATCTTCAAGCCCACCAAAAGCCCTGTATAAGTTACCTTTAAGAAGAAATAAAATTGCTATGTGCTTTTAAAGAAGGCGAACCAGAAAGTATAGAGGAGAAGTTGCACACCAATTTTTTGAGTTGATAATGTTTTTGGGGGAAGACTTTTTGAGGAGGCTGGAACCTCGGCATCTTCAGATAATAGAAAAGAGTAGTCTCTTGTGTTTTTAAGAATTTCAACCTTTTTCTTCAACTGCAACAATTAATTACCAGGGCATGAGAAGACACGTGAGAAAGAGAGAAATTAAGACACCAATTTCGAATTGCGCGAGTGAGTCAACAATACTTACCCCATTTGTGACTCTCGGCAGATGGGTTTCTCGAGATTTTGACTTGACAGGTTCTGCAACAGAGCTCTTGTTGTTCTGGTTCTGCACAACATATCATGTCACAATCTGACTTTTTAAGCAAGATAACAATTCAGTTTTCAATGAGGAGCATTCCACACATATATAATGATTTACACATGCTCAAGAAGTAGAATCATTACAATGTGAACAGTAAAGCACTGCTAGCAAGAACAAAATCCGTAAAATGAGAAGCAGCTTTAACAATGTGCACCAAAAGGACATTTGCATTTACAAGAGCACCAGAGATAGGTGTATCAATATTCCAACGCAATTCTACAATACACTGATAACCTCAACCAAGTTCCGTATACCAGAATTGACCAAAGGAGGTGACGTGATACAAGAAATTCCAGAAGTGGGAAAATATCGAGTATTCTACACTTACAGCACGATTAGGTTTCATAATCCTTGCAGCCAAATCTGGATTCTCCAACAAGGACTTGCTTTCTTGAATCACTCTCTGAGAAATAGCAGGTTGTCGAGGACCAAAGAAGGTTCCATAACTGGAAACATATATGATAAGATTAATCGGACTAAAATCTCAATACCAATTGAAGAAACCAACTCTTAATCCTCTTGCCGAAAGAAGAAAAAATATCAAATTTACAATATCATCTAACATTGGAGGAAAAGAAAAATGTCAACTTGTGAAGATCATAAACATGATAAAACTGGCTACAAGTTAAAAGCTAAATCAATCCATGTTATGGGCCAAAAGAAAAAGATGAATTTAAAGCTTCATTGCCCAATTAGGTCAGAGCTCTGGTCTCGATAAAACAAGACCATGGAAGACACAGAAAAACGCTACTCGTCAAACAACATATAAGAAGCATGAACTTATTAAAATCTTGCCACACAAATAAATGCTTACTTGTCTTTGCGAAACCCATTTATTCTGTCTCGGGAGCCAGCATCTGTAGTTCCCAATTCCTTCTTCATCTGCTTTCTAATCGACTCTTTTAACCTTTGTCTCAGTTCAAGATAGTCAAGCTCCTCCTGAGTGGGCTGGTGAGTTTCTTCTTCGTACTCATCTTCACCAACTTCCTGTTCTTGCTCATCGCCATCCTCCTCGTACTCATCCCAGTCTTCATATTCCTACATCAACAGAACAACAAATTTACGAAAGCCATAAAATTGATACCTTCATCACAGCTTTTAAAAAATAAACAAAATGGACTTGTACAGTTACTCACATCTCTTTCATAATCTCCCATTGCACTTTAGTCTGAGAATTATGGGTAATGATTCTCGCAAAATGTTAATCCAAAACTGTGCAAAAAAAAAAAAGATTAATACAGCAAATTGAAAATCCTCAATGAAACGGACTAACAGAGATCAGAAAGCATGTCTAGATGTAAGAATGTTATTTCCTCACATCTACAACACCAAATTAGATAATACAGTTTGGAAAAATATCAGAATGTAAAAGTTCTCCCAGAAACTGTATCTATCATAATTAAAGGATATTTCTTTTGCATCATTTTCTGTTCCTTCTTTTTCCGCACTTCGTGTTCAGAGTGTTATTGCTTGCACACATAAGTTTTGCAGCGTCTTCATAACCCCAAATTCTCCATTAACATGTACGTTCAAATATATACATAGATGCATCCAGACATAAAATATATACATATATACTTGGTGGAGGAAAAGGGGAAAAAAGGATTTCCTCTGAAAAAATAAAGATGTAAATCTGANATAAAATCGAAGATTTGAAAGAATTACTACAGAAATCAAGAAAAAAGGACCAAATATTTGCACAGATCGGTGTTAATTACCTTAAAATCGACAAAACTGGAGTAAAAAAGCCGAGATCGATCGGATGGTCTTGTGGATCTGAAAGTACGCCAGCGTACAGGAGATGGGATATAAGGTCAGCAGATGAGAAATTTGGGGAAATCTCTGCCAAAGAAACGTGAGATAAAGCACCGCGTAGGGCGTTCCGAAAGACCGATAAAAGCAAGGGTCTATGCTATCGTGCGCGGGGGTTCCGAGGATAAGATGCACAGCCAAACCGGTATTTAACCCGGTTTATCCTGGTTTAGTACGTGTCTGCACTGCAAACGGCATGTTTCTTTTTCGTGTGCTTTGATAAATTAGAGCATCTCCAAAGTCACATGTCAATCAATAATTGTAATGTTAATCCATGTAGGAATAATGTTAAAAGAGTTGAAATTTGAATCAAACTAGCATCTCCAATGCATTAATTTGATAAATAGTTATTTGTATAGGTGTACTAATTAAAATAATCATTAATACAAGAACAATAAAAAATTAAATCAAATATAAAGTGAATTGATTAGTCATCATGTTTAACATGGTGTTAGATATTAGAAAGTGTGTTCAACATTGTCAACATTAAATGCTATCCATCTCATCATGAAAGAGTTCATAACAAGATGCATTGGAGAATAAATTAATACCTCACTTTCAAAAATTGATGATATAAATAAATTTTTATAATGTCAAAAGCGACATTAGAGATGCTCTTATGGGTGTTCTTAGATCATCTCCAATGCTTAAATCCAATGCTTAAATGTAGTTGTAGTAAATTACACTCTACATTAACATATTTAGCAATTTATTCATTTTTAATCATCCAATGCACAATGTTATCACAAATGTAGTGATGATGTGGACATAATTAATGTCTACAATGTAGAGAAGAATGTGATTCATCCACATTCCTATTCACATTTTAGTCAACCAATGAAGAGAGGAGAGAGAAATATTATTACCATTTTCAAAATATCTAATTAATTCTTTTATTTTCATAATTATAAATTTTTTATTTTGGCCAAGTGGACAATATTGTGTTTGATTATATTGTGCATTGGAGATATTTTTTTAGAATTAAAGTTGTGAACTTAACAAATTATCTTATGTGGTTCACAATTCATTTAATTAATTGATATTTGTCAAAATTGATGCAATAACAACATTTATGCATTGGAGATGCTCTTATTTATCGTCCCAAATTACTACTTGTTGTCCCAAAAAATAATTTAATAATAATTAAAATTATATTTTTGTCCTAATATAAATGTATTACCTACTTCTACCCAAATTACTATTTTTACCTTCACTAACTTCCTTTTTCTTCACTTTTATCTTAATCCACATCTTCATCAATCTCCTTCTTCCTCTTCATTAAAAATTAACTCACCAATCTCTACATTATTCTTCATTAATTCACATGTCTAGTAATCCAACATCATCGGGAACACATGCAAATGAGGTAAATTGTGTTAACTCTTATTTTTTTTATATTGATTTTCACTTGCAAATAAGATAAATTGTGTTAATCCCTATTTTTTTTTTTACATTGATTTTCACTCACAAATGGATCTTTTGATTTTTGAGTGTTTGAGTTATTTTAGGACTTAGATAATTAAACCCTCTTTATATATGTTGCATTAAACTAATGTGATGAATTGATTAGTATGGTAGAATGAATAAAGTGATAATAGATGTAAGTTAGGGTTTAATTTCGTTCAGTAAACGTCCCAGGTAAAAGCTCGAACATGGTTTAAACGTCTGAAAGCTAAGCTTGTAATGCCCTGTTCGAATATTAGATTTTTCTGAGTTTATTTTAATTAATGACATTTTATTTTATTATTTATATGCCTTGATTATTTAATTTATTTTCGAATCGTTGCGACCCGAACTTCGAACTGATTCAACCAGCCCCTTAAGACCATTATATGTTCAGCTCTTTAATAGTATTTTCAGCTTTCAAGACCAACCAAAAGAGTTAAAATAGAATTTTAATCTAATACTTCAGTTTTCGGTTGTAGTCGGATCTTAAGTCCGATTTTGGTTCCGTAAAATTTATTTTTTCTCTCATCTTCTTAGAAGACATCAAGGACAAAGTTAGCAAGTATTTTTCAGCCATTTTGAGCATCAAAACCGAAGCAAAGAAACTCCACAACCATCCATAAGAGTGGCATTATTTTACTTAGTCACATGTCACAAAAGTTGAATTATTTCAACCTCTTTGTCCTCTTCCATGGCTAATGGCCGGTTTTTCAATCCCCTCCCTTTGTCCGCTTTTATCACATGCTAGGGAATCAAGCCTAAGATGAGTATAAGAATCATTAATCAAGTCAAAGTCTTCATTAACTTATTTTCTATGCCTAATCCTCCATCATGTGCTAGTACTTGTTTAATGTGAGTGTAAGGCTTTGTCCCCCTATTATCCTAAGGCTTGGACCAGATTTCTCAGCATCTTTTCAGCCACCATCTCGTTCATGTGCTCAACCACATGCATCTAGTCAACCATGTGCCTAGTGAAACAGTTATACAATTGTTTTATCACCTTGTCTTCCCTCTTGTCTTGCATAAGTTTCCACGCCTAAGACCAGCCTATAAGCCCTCTCTTCAACTTCTTATATTCCTAATGTGATACTCTTTCAACACTTAGCATTTTAGAGAAAAATCAGCACCCAAACACTTAAGTTTTTCCAAAAGCCGAGAGTGATATCTATACAAGGCCAAGAGAAATTTTTTGTTAGCACCAAGTAATCTTGTTTTCTAGTTACTTATATTTGAGAACCTCAGCAAGATTACTATCCTCCTTCATCCTCCTTTTATTCTAGAAGAGTTTGGTCTCACCAAACTCAAGGAAGGAAGTCAAACAGCCGCAGCTGCACAAGGATCGAGCAAGAAGAGCAACACCGAGCACACTTGCCTTTCTTCTTTCATTTTTTGAGTTATTTGAAGAAAGTAAGCTACTAAACTTATTTATATGTTTTTTAGCTGAGCTTATCAATTAATTGGTATATATTTATGCCTTAGAGGTTCAGTTTATAATCGCTTATATGCATACAAGATGTAAACTAGTTCCCAGCTCACCCGCATGTCACACATGTCCTGTTTTACTTCAATTTTGACCATGATATGCAAAACCTGGGAAAGTATGCTTTATATAGATATTTCTTGTGTAAATGAGGAGTACATAGGAGCAAGAATCATGTCATTTTCTTAAGTATAACTCGAGTTCTATATTTTTTAAGTTTATCATGCAAATCGAGTTTTTATGCCTAGTTTCAGCTGCGTAATTTCAACTCGAATAAGTCAGTCTATGTGCATGAGAAAAATGTGAAATTTTTATGACATGTCTAAGTAGGTGTTGAGAGCATGCCTGCCAAATTTTATGATTTTAGGTTGAGAAATGAATGAGATAAAATGTTTAGACCGCGTGTATGTCTAGATTATTTTATATGCAAAAGTACTCAATCCACGTTCGAGCTTTTAACGTGAAACTTTTATGTAAAATTCTCACATGAGTGATGAACAATTTGACCAAGTTTCAGCGTTATATATTGAGTATACGATTTTATAAAATTGTTTGAAGTCTCACATGTAAATAACATAACTTCGTGTTATGATGAATACATGAGTTGAAATGGGCAGAGTATATGTATTGAATGTTTGATGTTTAAACTTGATGCTAATGTTATTATTTGACAAAGTGATCATCATAAAAATTGTATCCTTGCTTCTTGGCTGTCCATAGGTTTTTTATTCATGTCATTTGAAGTTCTGTAGCATGAGTTAGAGTCTAATAACTGAAGTGTTGTTTGTATCATGAATTAGTTTCGGGAAGATTATATGAATCGCATGTTTTGTATTTAAACTCATTGATAACATCACTATTTGTCAATAGGGTATTCAACGAAGTTATAGATAATTGTGTTAGCTGAATTTTGGTTTTCGAATCTTCTTGAAAGCATGTCTGTAGCTTCATTTATCTTACAAATACTGAAGTCCTGTCAGTCGTATGTTTCCAGATTTTTAATTGTAACTCTGTTTCAAGTGTTTGATGATTTATCTCGTGGTAGATGACCTTATTTGTTCTCGATGTCTTTATAAGAGTTGTAGAGGCATGTCTGAGGATTCATACGCAACTAGATTCATGTTGATTTGATTTATGTGCTGCAAGTTGTGTCGATTTCAAAATCGCTGCGCGGGTTATGTTTTGAAAAATTACGGTTGTGCTTTCGAAAATAAAATTTATCCTTTTAACGCTTGCTTATTCACTTATATGGGCTGAAATGATCCAAGTGTTTTTTTATATGAATTGTAAATGCCATGAGTTAGTTAGTGCAAGTGTCGGATAGTTATTGATAGGGCCCTCTTAATTATTGTAGGTGTTTGACGAGCAGAGCTCTCAACCTACTCGTATTTTCGTGATATTTGTTGCTTCCAACCAGGTGGGTTTTATCTGAAAAATTACTATGCCGTAATAAATTGTTGCCTTATGTGTGGTATGATCAACGTATGCATGTGAAACATGTAGACTTCGATGTGAGCTGTATCGGCCGTCGAACGGTTATCCCGTGGTTATAAAATAAACCCGAGAGGTTACTCCTACTGACTGGGCATCGATAGAATCTCGTGGGGCATTCGGTGTATAAGCCCGAGGGGCATAGAAGTAAAGCCCATGGGGCATTCGAAGTATGACCTGAGCGAAGGCCTTCGATACGTCTACCAGCAGTATATGCGTAGGTGTGCACATGAGTCTGAACACTGTGAATTTATGATGAAAATTTGGGATACGTGATTGATTCATATACATGCTACGATCGTACCTGTTGATATTATTGTGATTATTGCATAGTAATGAGCACCTCGTTTTTTCATATGTACTCACTCCCACCTGAAATTAACATTTCAGGCTAAGCAGTGCAGGCATGACGGCGGAGTGGAGCGAGTGGTAGTCGGTCCTTATGACTGGAATATTATTTGTTGCTTCCGCTATTTATGAACTGATTTATGAATTTATGAGCTTGAGAATATTATGATTTGAAATAATGTTGGGGAGATGCCATGTGAACACCTTGATGATTTGAAAACCCAGTTTGGGTAATGGATGATTTTGGATGAACCCTTTATGGGAGTTGAATTTTATGAATGATGATTCATGTTATGATTTGATGTTATGTCATGAAAAAGGAAATTTGATATGAATGAGTAAAGCCATAAACGTTTGAATTGAAATTTGAAAATTTTAATTTGATTTTTCTGAAAAGCCATGGATTTTCGTTTAAATC